CAGCTCCCGTCACTGGGTGCAGCCTGTCAGAGGCCTCGAGGGCCCATGCCCCGCCACCTTATGCTCCAAGCACAGCGGGCAACCTGCAGCAGCAGCCACCTTCTCCTGGAGCACAAGTGGAGGGGGAGACACGGACCCCCCCAAGGCCAGGGCTGTGCCCAGTGGCAGGAGCCCCCCCTGTGCACCCTTAAAACTGCAGAGACTTCCAGATCCAGCTGGGCCGGGGCCCGACACCACATTTATCTGGCTGGTGGGCGGGTGCGGCTCAGCGCAGCCGCAACATGGAAGTGGGATCAGGCCCTGGCCTGGCCTGGGACACTCTGCGGTCTGGAGCTATGTGGGGCAGGGAGCAGGGCACAGGAGATCCTGGGGTGCTCTTTACTTGCAAAAAGTGATTTTCCCATAAGAAGACTGGAGACCACTAATTTAAAGAACGTACGAGTTAATAAAACCAAATAGAGTATCAAAAACATTGCAGTAATGCCAACCAAATTAATTTCTGGAAACAGTAAACTTTTTTAATTTAGTCCTATAAATTACCACATTGATAGCAAACATGTCTTCATTTTTAAAATCTGATATTCATATGTATTTCACAAAACGTTTCAAACTATGGGTTGTAAGGTAACTTCAAGCTTCACTGTTTATTATTCATGGTACAAAACCATATGGAATTGTTTCTGCTTCCTGAATTAAACCTTAATAATAAAAACAACAAATAAGAGCACTACTGATTTCCACACACAAATAAAAGAATTTCAGTAAAAAAGAGCCATTCTCCAAATATCTGACTAGCTGCTCCTAAACTCTAACACAGCATAAGCAGTTTTAAGTTATTTAACCTCTCAAACCAATCTGTAATAAGAGACTATTAACTTTCTGAATATCAATGCTGTCCCTGTGAAGCAGGAAACTGTGCCTTTGTTCCATGTAGATTTGTTTATTACAATAGGCTTTATCTGGGACAAACAACGTCACTCTGCAGTTATGCATACCTACCTCTACAGTGTGGAAGACTGCTAAAACGTATCATAACTGGGCCTCACTCCATGTAATGGTTGCTAAAAAAAAAAAGTCACTGAAGTACCACATGACAGACACTTCATACCTGCATAGCACAGGAGCAAATTATCCCAAATTTAGTACCACCTCACCGATCTGGGCAACCATGCAGATAATGTACACCCACAACACCTATCCTTATGGTCAAGTTCAAAGCAGTTGGAAGTAAGAACATTTGTGTTGTCAAACTCTACCTACTAAAATTTGCTCCTCTGGATACCCAGTAGGCAGAATAGCTTCTGGACCATTATTTCCAATCTCACAGGCTACTTGCCTTTAAAAAAAGGGATGTCTCCCCTTAGATGAGCAATCGTATGCACCTTCAGAGTACATAAACATTAAACAAGGAGTTGCTTCTGGGTGGCCAACAGGAAAGGATAGGCAGAGGGCTGTTTGAAGACTTGCTCATCCTGGGGAGCTGGGCATCACAGAAGCACTGATTTAAGTATAAATCACAGCATGGTGAAGAGAAGGAATGTGCCATTCCACACGATCTTGCTGCTTGGTTGAGTACCCTAACAACAAGAGGCCTTGGCACATGGAGGTTTGAATGTCCAATCTCCCACTTCACAGTTTGCTAATTACCAGGCTATGGCCTAGTGAAGGTGAGAATATTCTCCTTACCTTTTACTGAAGTTGGCTCATCAAAAAGCACAAGAACAAGTAAGAGGGAGCCTGCCTTGGGATCTGGCCCTATTATTTCTACTTTTTACATAATGAAAAGCATATCAAAAAGCCATCTTCACTGACTGCCTATCTTATATCCATACCAGCCCAGCCTCTGGCTTCTTTACTTTTCATTCCATCCAGGAAGAGCACACATCAACTGCAGAAACTTCCTCAGCCTGATGAAGGGTTTTTAAATCTGAAAGCTTGCTTAAAATCCTCTTCCAACTATTTAAGCTGGTCTAATAAAAGATATCAGATTCACCCAAAGAACTTTGTCTGCCTATATCAAAAGGACTGGAAGTAGAATTCATGGTCCTTTCCTCCCAAGAAGTGCCCTCCTCAGTGGTCTAACAATGTCAGGTTTCCTCTGCCCTCATGATTCTTGCAGTCCTTTCAGCCCAGGGACACAGCTTCAAGAGGAAAAACTGTAAGATGCGCTGAGCCTTGCTTAGCCCATAACCTCTAGCCAGCTGGTTGGGGCACTCTCCCTGGAACTGGGAGATGAGAGTTCAAACCCATTCATGCCAAGGACAGCCTAAAACCCAGATCTCCCACTCTGTGAAATGTATGCCCTGTAAACTACTGGGCAAAAGCCGGGGGGATCCTCCCCCTCCATGCATGAACTTAGTTTAAAAAACCCAAGCACTGGGCATCATTCCCACCCCAAAGAATCAACAATTTAGACAGTTTGGGTGCTTCTCAAGCAGAACTGTATAACAACACCAATTTTAGTAGAGTAAAGCATCTAGGTGGCTGTTATGACTCAGTTCTGAGCACACAGAGCAGCCCAATCTAATAACCTGGGATCTGGGTTTTCCGTTTCCCACGGAATAACAGAGAAAAACACAGGTTTTCCCGTTTACCTGAGGAAAACATGGATTTCTCATTTTAACAAAGAAACTCACAGCTTTTACAGTTTTGCAGATTTCCCATTTTAACAGAGAAACCCGCAGCTTTTACAGTTTTGCAGCAAGTTCTCTGCAGGCTGGCAGAGTTCCAGCCTTCAGGGGGTTGGGAGGAAGTGGGAGGAGGGCCGTCAGGTAGGGGGTGTCATGTGCATGTGTATGCACATGGCCACCAGGCAGCCTGGAGAGCAGCTCTCAGAGGTAAAGTCGGGGGGGGATGGATTGAAGCCCCCATAGAGAAATGGGGAGGGAGTTGGGCAGGGCTAGGGCTGGGGCTGCTGCCCAGCTGGGTGGTGTGTGGGACATGGGGCCCAGGGTTGCACTACACAGCCATAGGGCCCTGGCAGGGAGCAGGACAGGGTGGCGTGCGTCTCACCCAGGAAGCAGTATGGATAGGGCCAGCTCCCTGCTGCTGTGCACACTCCCAGGAGGCAGGGGGAAACCATGCCCCCCAGATAGGTGTGCAGGGTGGGCGTGAGCTCCCTGCTCTGCTGCCCTCCCCTGGGGCCTCCACAACCCAGAGGGTGCAACCCAGTGCTGCAGGGCACAGCAGGGCTGTGCGGGGAAGCTGTTTGCCACTGCGAGCTCCGTGCTGCCCTGGTGAGGTGTCTGCATATGCGGCAGCAGCATCGGTGATGGTGCAGGGTTTTGCCCCTCACTGCTGCTGTGTGGGCAGGGGACAGGTTGCCAGGGCAGCACGAAGCTTGCAGCAGTAAGCTTCCCTGCTGTTTCCTGAAGCACCAGGTTGCACCTGCTGGGCTGTGGAGACCCTGGGGAAGGGCAGCACGGCCAAAGCCCACCCTGCACACATTTGGGGGGCACAGGTCCCTCCTGGGCCCCCCAGGAGTACATGCGGTGGCAGAGAGCCGAGCCCCGCCCAAGCCCACAGCAGGCAGGCTGCTGGCAGCAAGGGGGGAGGTGCCAGGCTCTGCTCTGCTGCAGCAGCTACAGCCGCAGCCTCTTGCTAGGGGCAGGGAGCTGTGGACCTGGGTCCTTGACCCTGTAGCCCTGGTAGCTGAGGGCACCTCTGGCAAGGCCGGTGGGGGACAGGGAGCTTGGGGGGTGGGGTGGAGTGAGGGTCCTTTCATTTTAATCACAGATTGTGGGGTTTTTAATTCAAAGAATTTGTGACTTTTTAATCCAGGGAAGCCAGGATCCCTGCTAATCACCTAAGTACTGTTTCAGGCCAAAAGGGAGGCATTAAATTAATCTAGGGACTTCAGTAATTTTATGGCTTCTAAGCAAGGTGAAATAAAGTCATGCTTCATGATTTGGATGGCTAAATGAGCCAGTAAGTTCTAGCAAGAGATTGGCATTGTTTAGAATTGAATTATACAAAACCTGGTCACTTGACTAATTGCCCATGAGGTTCTCCACTCCACAGGTCAGTGAAGAGCAAGGTCTTCCATTCCTTTTATTTAGAATATGAATCCAATACAAATCAATTAAAGGTCAAACTGAAGGATGGTGCATGCGTCTTCATAAAATTTTTAAAAAAAAATAGTACTGAACAATATGCTCCAAGAATATTTGCCATTTTACTAATGTTTCATGAACATATCCCATCCAAGGCCATAAGACTACTAAACTGATGTTCTACTTTGACTGAGACGTGTACATGGATGTGTTATGCATGTACAAAGCAGATCTATTAAAATAAATACAAATAAAAGAAATATGAAAATATATTATTTCCTCTTCTTGGCATATTTAGTTAATATTTAAAAGAACTTTGCCTTTGGCTATGGAACTTGAAAACGGAAAGTGGAGACACCACACAACCAAAATTACAGCATTTGTTATATTCAGCAAATCTTCAGTCCTCAAGAGCTTTACGATGAACACACAAATGTGAAGAGCTTCATAGAAATCACAACATAGATCCATTATACAAAGTGTGATTTAGTCCACATGTAGATTTTCAAGCAATGTGAAAGTCCTGGCCCTTTCATTACATCTGTTATTTCTTCTGTCTTCCACCTGACTTCTTTCTTTTCTGTTTCATTATGTTCCTCATTTCTCTTATCCTGTACAGGTGTATTCTGTACAGGTTTGCACAACATACAAAAATAAGGTACTGAGTATCAATACTCAATACTTTCTTTAAGGAAAAAAAATGAAACACCTTGGCTAAAGCTGAAGCTTCAGAATGTTTCAGAAAAAGATTAGAAATGTTCCAGCAGTTGTTGTTTGCTAATGTCCTATAAAGGCTATCTTAAGGCTTCACCATATTTTTCAAATAAGCAAATTGCAAATATTTGACAATATGTGCTAAAATGTAAGTCTGAAGGGTTTTAGTATTTTGTTTTTAATAGAAAGATACCCGACACCTTTGACCCTCCACCATATCAGTCTTCTTAAGGTCCCTGGCAGATGTTGATATAATGGCACAATTGGGATCTGAGGAATTTTGTGGCATGGCAAGGATGCGTGATTTTTGGGACAGCGCATAAAATTCCTTAAATTCCAATCATATGATTGCCAGGGCCCAGTTAGGATCCAGGGCTGCCCTCAACCTATTCTGGAGGTCAGGCAGCAGGCAGCTGTGTCCCAGACTCTGGAGCTCTCCTGTGCCCAATCCTTATGATCCAGCTGGAACAACTTCATGGCTGGTTTGCCATTTTATTGTACCATAAACTGGCTGAATGTATGGCACATGCAATTCACCACATAAATTTAACACCTTTAAGGACCCTAATACTTGTTGCATAGTGAAAATATGTGAAAGCTGTGCTTGTATCTTTCCATTATATGTAACCCAACATACCATGCACCTCCTGCACCCTGGTATATTATGGAAAGACAGCAGTACCATAACTGGAACTAGCAATACAAAGAAACAGGGAAAGGAGCACTATAAGAGATTTACAATGTTCTTATACAATTATGTTTCTTTCAATTGTGTTTATTTTTCTGCTTGCAAGCGTACATAAACTGAAGAGAGGCTGCATGGAATTAACTGTTATAAGAATACCTAAAGATCCCTCCTGGGAACTCTTCAAGAAAAAAAAGGTGAATTTAAGTGATTCAGTCAGACAGATTAAACAAATTGAGCATGTCTAGTGCACACAAAAAAAATCTGCTTACCTGGTTCTAGTTTTATTACTTTAATCGCTGCTAGCTCACCAGTGTTAACATTCCGAGCCTATAAAAGGAGAAAAATTATTTACATATTGGAATACAATAGTAAGTGATACAGCCGTAACCCAATACTGTACAAAAACTTGCATTTACGTTTCAAATCCCATTTATGATTAAATTTAAGTTTAGACATTTTCAGATAAATTATTGTAATTAAATAATTTCACTGGCTTTATGAATATATTTTGATTAAATATGTATGGCTATACTGTTAATTAGTATTATAAAATTATTTAGAACCTTCCAAAAATATGATTCATATTTGTATGATTACAGTAAGACAAATCTAGATTAGAATGCAGTAGCTTAAAGCAGTCACCCATCGAAGAATAGTTTATCATAGTTTTTTCCCCTCCTTTCCCTGCCTTTTCAAACAGTAAACTTTAATTAATTCACAACTATACTAAACTAAATTAAGCCACCACATCCCAAAACTTATAAAAAGTAGCATTGCAAATCTACACTTTGTTCCTCCTAGAACCTTTTCATGGTAAATTTAGTTTCCTTTGTAGTTAGAAAATCTAACAAAGACACTAAACAGTTAATTTGTGATGACATTTCAGATTATAAATCTTTAAGTACACTCAAGATTCTGTGTGCAACAAACCTAAGTTACATAGCAAAGTCCCTATTTTATGCTGTACTGGTGCACTAAGTGTGACAAAATGAGAATTTAGACACTGCTTACAAAATATTGTGATTCTATAATTCAGGGATTTTCAACATTTTTTGACCACTGTACCCCTCAGGTGGCCGGATGCAGAATAGTGTACCCTGAGTCACTGAGTGGGGGATGAGGGGTGGACTTGGATCGGTGGTGACAAGTGGTGGCAGCAGGCGGCCCTGCTCTCGCCCCACCCCAGCCCTGTTCCTGCGAGGCAGCAGCGTGGGGTGGCGGTGCTTTGTCCTCGCCCAGCCCCATGAACCCCTTGGGACCTTTCAAAGTACCCCCAGGGGTACACATACCCCCAGCTGACAACCCCTGCTATAATCTGTATGGTTTCTAAAGTGGGGAAGCACGGAGCAGGCAGCAGCAAATGCACTGCCTTGGAGGGAAGGAGGCTGCAGACCAACTCCTTTATTCCACTGCAATGTCTTTTGATCCCTCTCACCACACACATTATCCTCCTCCTATGAGACTGCTACATGACAAGCCAGCCACTTAAGAGGTTAGAAGTCTTTAAAAACAGTCTTTCCATGCCCCTCACCCCCACAAAAGACCATGCAGCTACCTAACTTAAGCAGCAATTAATCAATACTTTAATTCCATTAAAAATGGCAGCCCTTATGCCGAAGGGTTCCCTATGTTGAACACAGAAAGTAAAATTAAAATTTAAAAAGCCAATAAAATAAAAGCATGGAAATAATATTTTTTCTTTTTAAATAAAAATCTAGGACAGTGTTTAAAAGAATGTGATGGTACTTATCAATATTTTATGCACACCCAGAAGGTTTCCAGCCCCAGCAAGACATCTAATCTTAAACCTATATCTTGACAATTATGGTATTGTTCTATTATAACCACATTTTAAGGTTGTTTTAGGGAGAAAAAAAATAACATCCTTTCCCCAACATATAAAGTTGATAACTAGAGATACAAGACCATGAAACACTCTTGTCCTCACAAAATTCCACAGGAGAATTAAATAACAAAGGAGACTCCCAAAATATTAAATGCACTACAAATATTAAAATATAAGCTGCCCTGAAAAATATTTTACCATTAACTTTTTGAAAGCACAAAATACTACCTATCATACGGTAGAAAGCACTATCCTCTAACTGTACTGATTTGAGAACTGAGCTTGTAAACCAATGTTGGAACTGAAACCTCAAAAGGAGAAAAGTAATAATCAAAGTACCAGGTAATCAAGACTAACCATGTCAGTGGCAAAAACTAATAGTTTGGTCCACCTATATTTATATTTATTAAGGGAGTACACATAATTAATGTGCAGATAACTAATGTTTATTACAATGTAAGTATATATGCATGTGTGTAATTAAATATATCTGTATACATATATTTTTATTAAACAAACTTGTACATGCACACGTTGCATAAGTGTATAGTACACAGACAGACGCACACTGTATAAGTGCATAATTTTCTTAACTGCATACCACAATGCCAGTTCCAATTTGATACCTACTGTGTACTCTGTAATAAACATGTTATCTGTATATCAGTTACATGCAAAAACTGCTTTAGCAGTTGTACTCTCTTGATAGGTGAAACCATTTCCAGGCTTCCAGGTCCTCTCAACTTCAAGGCTGCTATTAGAGGCGTAAGATGCCCTTCCTAAACATGGGAATGAACCTGAACGAGGTCAAAAAGCTTAACTACAAAAAACTACTTGTGCTAATGAGCACTGCATACTTTGACTTTGGGGAAGTCAGTAGACTTATCCAATATTCTATGCAATTAAAATGTGGGCATCATCATTAAACCCAGTAGCACTCAACCTTTTGGTCCCATAGGTGATATGAGTGGGGTTGGGACAGTCCACAGGCCACATCAGGCCCTGTGCTCCAGGATCAGGCTCCAAGGCCCAAAACTGCTCCTGCACTGCCCCACACTTGGGGAGTGGGCCCTGGAGCCTGCTGCTGCCCCCCCTCCCACCCCTGCACCCCCAGATTGGTCCTCCAGAGGCCCCCCTTTCCATAGGAATTGGTGTCCAAGGGCCTGGCAGTGCCCCCTCCCAACCCACTCCATTGCGATTAGGCCCCAGCACTGCCCCTGCCTGGCCACAGGCACCAGGATTGGGCAGCCAAGGCAGCATGCAGGGCCTGGGCCTTCCCATGGGTCTGAAAATTTGTCAACACTCTCCTGCCACCAAATTTCTAGACCTGTGTGGAGCCTCATGGGCCAGATGACATGGGGTAATGGGCCAGATCTGGCACATGGACCAGGGGTTCAGCACCCCTGATTTAATCTTTCCATCTCTGGGTTTCTACCTTAGTGGTTCCCAGTACCAGGACTTTAAACTTCTCAGTGCTCTGGGATATGGGTACTTTTTGGCACTGACAGAAGTCACAAGTAGTAGTTACAAGATAAAGTTTTGCTACCGGATAGTTACATAACTAGGACCTGAAGTCTGTGTGAATCCTAGAATATCAGGAGATAAAACAGACTTTTTGTTGGGGAATGAATGATTGTATTCTTTTGCAACCCGTCCTGGAAATCCTTATCTGTAGATACCATGATAACAGCAGGATCTTCAAAAGTGATCATAAGCTGGACCAACATAACTGTGTGTTGAAGAGAAAGGCAAAATGATTTTGCGTATGAGGATTTGGGTCATACCCTTGTCTTCTGGTGGTAGTAAAAGGGGAAAAAAGGAAAGGAAAACATGTAAAATTCAAATAACTGGCCTTGACTCCATGTATTTCTTCAGCTTCTCTATTTCATTAGAGACAGAATATTAGTGAAGAAAAAGGATACTGACTTTTGAGTTATGCATATCAATCCAAAAAAAAAAAAATCACTGGACAATAAGAATGGAAATTATTTTAAATCTGACACCACCTGATGCTGCTAGGCCAGAGATCAGCAACCTGTGTCATGTGGACTGTATCTGGTCCACAAAACCTTTGAACAGGCCATGGACGTGAGGCTCTGGCTGCTGGAACAAACACCAGCTGCAGGCACTCACCGCCAGTACCCAAGTGGTGATAGCAGAGTCTTAGTGCCTGCCCACTGCCTCCCATCCAGGGTGGGTCATCGTGGCCCACCGCCAGAAAATGTTGCCCACCCCTGCTGACAGGCAATGGTGCAAGCCCTGTTTTGGTGCAATCAGTACTAACTGGATATTCAATGCCACATGTTCCCAAGTGGATATAAAAGATAAAATGCTCAATACTAAAACCATTGGCAGAAGTGTAGAGACTCTGGGTAGAACTGTATTTTCTTTCATGTGCATAAATAGCAGTTTTCTAGACACCTGTGTGGCCTTTTTTTGGTGCTTAGGCAGTGTGGGCACACAAGCATGTGTGTAGACTTGAGCATGCACAGTAGGCTACACACTAACTGGGCTATATCAGCATACCCATTCTGGACACATACCTAGGTCTAAGACAAGAAAATGAAGCTGGCCAGAAACTCATGACTAATGGGTAGTGACCTACACAATTTGTGATATAGAAACTGCAAATTGGGCACTGTCCACAAAATCCACAAAAAAAAAAGTTACTAAAAATAAAATGCTGTTTTCCCAGCAGTTCTCATGGCTGCTGCAGCCAGGCCTCACAGCCTGCTGGGAGGTGGGGGAGGGAGGAAGCTACCACCACAAAAGGGAGCAGCCAAAATGGTGACTGCCTCCTCCTCCCGCTGCTACTGATTGGCCAAGAGGGCTGTCTTTCATGCAGTCCCACCCCTCTCAGAAAAATCAGCAGCGAGGGGCAGAGCCACATGTCAGACAGTCCTCTTGGTCAATCACTAGTGAGGGGTGGGGCCACATGATTGATAGCCCTCAGCTAATGAATGTTGAGGGGTGGGGGCCATCAGAGCCCCGCCACAATAAGCTCATGAAAATGGCAGCCACTGCCGCAAACTGGCTTGTGAAATTGGCCACCTGCCTCCTCGATTTCAGAAGATCCCTACTAATGGGTGTTAGATAGAAGACAAATCTCTCATATTGTAGCTGCAATAGCCAAGTAGGCTACAGGCTTGGGGTTCAAAGCTCGCTTTGTCCAGAAGGGTTTTGAACTGTGGCACTGGCCTCCTAGCACCGTGCTCTAACTACCGAACAGTACGTTAGGCATTAACCAGTCCCCTCTCCAGTGCTCCTTTTAAAGTCACAAGAAACACGTGGGGCCAGGGGAAGAGAATAAACCAAAAGGGTTATGACTTGGTGATACAATTACTGGCTTGGAAGGGAGCAAGCCTTGGATTCTAACCTGCACCCTTATTCCCAAGATTGCAAAAATTTCCATGCTGCATTGTTCTCCATCCATTTTGTACAACAACTATTAAATGCAAGGGGCAGGGGCTCAGCCTT